TCGCGTTGCTGCCCATATTCTTAGCTGCGCTACGTTTTAAATATACAAGCCTTAGGTTTATGTAAAATGCAGGGGAGTTAGCTCAATACAAGGAAGATTGACCAGTCTCATTCCCAAAGTCACTATCCGAATCTTGCGATCATCTGACGATTCGAAGTGTATGCCCCTCAGAAACAGTTTTGAACTTTTTGTAGTCCATATTACATTAATGTGATCTCTTGTTTGATTTACAATGTTTGTGGAAGGCAGAATCAACCTATTAAGACATCGTTATGACAACCTCTCGCTTTTTGCAGATGCTAGCTACGAAGCATTTGAGCTAGTTTATCGGTGGATGTATACGGATGTGCTTCCTCGGTCGAACGTATCCCAAGAACTGTTGAGAGAGGTGTGCCACATTGCGTTTCGGTACCACTTCAAAGGCTTGCAGTCCAGGTAATACAGTGTACTCTACTTAATTTTTATATATATCGTTGCCCAGGTGCGTACAACATCTGAAAGCACGCGTAGATGTTAGCAGCTGCATCTCACTTTATGAATTTGCTGACACCGAGGATATTGGCGATTTACGCGATTATTGTGGAGCAATCATTGCTGCTCATTGGAACGAGTTTGTTCCTCAGCAATTTGCTCATCTCTCCGCACCTTCCCTCTACCAACTTCTCAAAAGGTAGGCGTCGTACAAGTGGAAGCAATTTTGATGCTTCAACACCAAAATGTCGTAGGAACTCACACCATATTCTTCACTCGATCGTCCACCTCAATCGCGAGGATGTCCTTCTTTTATACTTCATCGAGAACGACTCTAAGGTATGCATCCGCTCTCTTCTTTCCTTTGAATGCTTATGTTTGTCTCATTTCGCACGAAAATCATAGTATTGCTTAGGTACCCATCTTGGTCAATGCTCTTGACCAAAGCGGCCTTTCACCTTTGGAACTTGCGCTCTCCTCTGGTCACATAAATATGGCAAACCAGCTGTTGTCGAAAAACGCTAGCTGCAACGTCATAGACGGGTCAGGCAAATCTATTCTTGTGCGAATGATTGAAAAAGGTAGATTGTCTTCCTTATTCTCGTAGACTTTTTTTAACTTGTTTTTGAAACTCTTGTATCTTTAGGGGATGCGCTGGCATGCGAATTTCTAGCATCTGCGGGAGCGGATCTCGCGTTTGTTCACGAAAAAACTCGGTCGAATCTGCTTCATTTTATTGCCGTGTCTCCTCTTAATCAAGCTGCTATGGCCGAGTGGGCTGAATCGCGTCTCAGAGAGATGAGCATGGATGCGCCGGATTACAAAAACAGGTAAGGTTTGTGAATTTTGCGCTTTTCCATCTTTGATATTTCTTTTTAGAACAGCCGTGCTTCTCAGTATCGCTAGCGGGAACTTCTCTTTGGCAAATACTCTCATTGTCAATGGAGCCGATTTGGTCAAGTCTGATGTCGATGGGAGGTCCCCTCTTTCTGTCGCTCTTTTTGAACGAAACGATCTTGCTCTTGCGGCAACTATCGTTGATCGTGGTGCTACGGGTGTCGTCAATCATCGCATAGATAAAGGTCTGCCTTTTGATGCCGCCTTAACAATTTTTTTGAAACTTGCAAAAGCGAAAATTAAGGAATATCGCATTTTGTTTTAGCTCGTTTTCTAACAAGTTTGCGCACATTTTTGCATATTCTAAGGCCCTGGCCGGACTTCGGTCAAAAGGCGTAAATCAAATATGTATGTGTTTGTGTTTTCTTTTTT